CCAGGGTTAAGGTTCGCATTTATGAAGAAAGATGTGCTGCTCTCTCAACCAAAAAATGTAATGACGACCAACGAAAAAAGGTATGTGATAGACCAACAAAAAACATGGAAGTTGAGAAGAAATGAAATGTTTCTTGTTCAACAGGATTTTTTTTTTTTTTTCAAAAATGTTTCACATCCAAGCAACATTGAAGGCAAAAGTTTGTGTTTCGGACTCAAAAACGTGCTCTAATGGTAATGTTGCAAGATTTATGTGTAGTGCACTCAAATGTTAATCGTCTGTTGAAAATGGCTGAAAAAACACTGGAAAAGCCAGAAAATATGCTGGATGATTAAATGTGCAAACGGACCGCCATACGCCTCGGCCTTCACCCCAAGTCTTTTTATGGAAGTGACTGGAATAATTGCATGAGGGTTGGGTAGGGATGGAGGCAAGAAGCGGACGTAGTGTACGGCGCACCACTGCCTCAACTTCGTATTTCACAAATAAGCTGAAAGCGGCCAAACGGGGTTCGATTCCTCGTGTTCGCACTCAATGTCTCCACTTGAAGTTTTTCTTTCCTCGAAGGTTGCCAGAAGGATGAATTTATCTAGGTTCTGAACAGAGAAAGAAAGCGGACGTGGTGCATGGCGTACCGCTGCCTTCACTTTGATGGTTCCTTTCATCTGAGAGTAGACTGACGGGGTTCGACTCCCCGCGTGCGCCTGGCGTTTGCGCAAGACCATTATTTTTTCGCATAAATGCCTCACGACTGGAGTAAAGCTGAGATGAGGTTAGAAACGGAGGCAAGAAACGGACGTGGTGTACGGTGCACCACTGCATTCTGTAAAATTTGAGAATAGCTTGCAAGCAGTCAGACGGGGTTCGACTCCCCGCGTCCGCCGTCCAGGGGTATGCAAGCCTTTTTTTACTCGAAGGCTTCTATCTGCCATGATATATGAAGAGATAAAATAAATACTGGGAGTAAGCGGACGTAGTGCACGGCGCAGCACTGCATGTAATGCACAAATGGGATAGCAGGCAGTTCAACGGGGTTCGACTGCCCGCGTCCGCCTTCCTTGTCTGTGAGTCCTTTTTTGGAGGGCCAGTATCTGCCTGCATATATCACGGTGAACAATAGAAGGTATGGGCGGACCTAGTGCACGGTGCACGACCGCATTCTATCAGTCAGCGCGAAGATTCTAATTGCAAGCAGTTTAGTGGGGTTCGACTCCCCCCGTCCGCATATATGTGTTGATCTGAATTGACCATTTTTTGTTCAAAGATTGTAACAAAACTTGAATATATATGGAGGGATTGAATGGAGGCAGAAAGCTGAAGTGTTGTACGGCGCACCACTGCACTCAATCTAGTTTCACGCGAGGTGGTTTTAAGCAGTTGGATGGCGCGTCCGCCTTTTCTTCTGGCCACGGAATCTTTGTAATGGAAGTGCCTGAATGACTTGCCTGAGGTGGATGCAAGGAATAAGAGGAGGTAGTGCACGGTGCACTTCTGGCTTCCTTTGAGTTTGACCTGCAATCATGACTCAATCTGAAACTAGCCTGACGGGGTTCGACTCTCCCCGTCCGCCTACCGATTTCTTTGCGTCGTTTAGCTTTTGTTGCCAAAGAGCGGCCCAAAGCGTGAACATGGACAGAAATAGAAGAGAAGGAGAAAGCGGGCGTGGTGCTCGGTGCCCGGCTACATTCTGTTCATGCTGACAGATATACTTGCAGTTGGACGGGGTTCGACTCCCCGCGTCCGCTTCTTGCCGGCGCAGCCCGTCACTCAAGGGCTGCCAATAAGCTACATAAACGGAGAGATGAAATGCAGGACGACAGTGGACGTGGTGCGTACGACTGCATTCTGTATGACACCTGTCAAAATTCAACCAGTCAGACGGGGTTCGACTGCCAGCGTCCACTTTTCTAAGTCGTCAGTTCCTTTTGGCTCTGAGGAGTGTCAAAGGCCTCTGGTTATCGAGGGCAGAAATGTAAGAATACACGGACGCGGTGTACGCCGCATCGCTGCATTCTATCAGTCGGCGCGAACGCTATAATTGCAAGCAGTTTAGTAGGGTTCGACTCCCCGCGTCCGCATACTGCGGTCCAAGTTTTTTTTGACTCGAAGGCTTCTAATTGCCGGGATACATGCAGAGGTGGGATGGCGGGAGTAGGCGAACGTGGTGCACGGCGCACTGCTGCATTTAATAATGGGAATTCACTATGGTTGCAAGCAGCTGAACGGGGTTCGACTCCCGTCCGCATGCCAGTGGCATCAAACACATATTTTTTGTTCAGAAGAGTGGCTTCAAGCTGGTATCAAGGTGGGTAGAAATGTGGGACTGGGCGGAGGTAGTGCGCGGCGCACCCCTGACTTCGCTATGCTAGATGCAGAGCAAGTGTGTAAGCAGTTGAACGGGGTTCGACTCCCCGCGTCGGCCTGGCGCTTCAGTAACTCCTTTTATTCAAAGAAGACTTTCAAAAGTCTGTAAGTATCGAGGTGAGGAATAGGGAAAAGAAGCGGACGTGGTGCACGGCGCACCCTGCCTTCACTTGGAGTGAAAGCAACCGACTTCTAAGCAGCCACACGGGTTCGACTCCCCGCGTCCGCGATTCTCGAGCTCTTCTCAAACCTTTTTTTTTGCTCAGGGGCTTGTAACTACCAGAGTGTATTGAAGTGAGTGGTAGGGTAGGTAGGTAGGTAGGTAGGTAGAATTACACGGCCGGTCCCGCTTAGGAACGCCGGGGCCCAGGAATTATCTAAGTGTACAGGCACTGAATGTACACTATGGTCCCTGGGCTCCTCCATACACCCGTAGCCGAGCTCATGGACGCAATTTTTCAATTCGCCGCGGTAGAACTAAAGGAAATACAGAGAAGCAATTAGTACCAAGTTGAATACCTCAGTTTAAGCGTTGCTTAGACGGTAGACGGGGAGAGCATAGAAAATTTGAAGAACATCATGTGCAAATTTAGCCAATAATGCGATCGTCGGACGACAGTAGATCACGGCTTTTAAGAACTCTGTCTCAGAGAGTGTTGCCATGAGGTTTTGCCGATAGGAGTTGGAGAATGATTGGTTGAGAAATGTGGAACGAAGTACAACCAGCTCGCCCGAGCGAAAAGAAGTGGACGTGGTGCACGGCGCACCATTGCATTGCATGATCGCGGGGAAAGATATCATTCCACGCAGCCTGACGGGGTTCGACTCCCCTCGTCCGCAGTTCTTGAATCTTTGCCAAACTCTTTTTTACTCAAGGGCTGCCAACCACGAGGATAAATTGAAGTGAGTGATAAAGGAGAGAGGCAGACATGGTGCACGGCGCGCTGCTGCCTTGCCTTCGACGGTTGGCCTGACTTGAAAGCAACTAGACGGGGTTTGACTCCCCGCGTCCGCCTAGTTGGTATGTATGCCTGACAGAACTTTTTTCTGAAAGGCTTCCAACTGTCTGGATATATGGAGAGGCAGAACGGTGGGAGTAAGCGGACGTAGTGCACGGCGCACCGCTGCCTTAGCCATGCTATACAGAGCAGATGTGTAAGCAGGCATACGGGATCGACTCCCCGCGTCCCCCTTTGAGTTGGCTCTTTTTGGTAAATAGTGGCGAAGGCTTTGCAGGTACCAAGGGTAGAAATTGAGGAAGGAAGCGGATGTGGTGTACTGTATCTGTATACCGCTGCATTCTTGTCCGCCTCTCTGGTTTCTCCCAAACCTGTTTTTTTTTGCTCAAGTGCAACCACTAGGATGTATTGAGGGGGTATAAGGGGGGTAGGAAGCGGATGTAGTGCACCGCGCGCTGCTGCCTTCACTATGCAAGATTCAGAGCAAGTGGGTAAGCAGCTATACGGGGTTCGACTCCCCGCGTCCGCTTCCGCCCTCTTGTTCTTGTATTTCTTTTCGCTCGAAGGCTTGCAGCAGACTAGATATATTGAGGTGAGTGATACATGAGAGAAGCGGACGTGGTGCACGGCGCACCACTGCATTCGGTCACCAGCATCATTAGGAGATGAATTTGTAAGTAGCCAGACGGGGGGGGGGGATTTATTATACTCACGAGGTCCACAACATGAACAACGAGTCTACCGAAGACAAACATATAGGGATATACGGGTGGTTAGCCGTACATAAACCTATAAGATGTTGACGGAGCACACAGAAATTCCAGGGGGGCGAGCATATAAGACGCTCGCATTCTGTGGGGCTCGACTCCCCGCGTCCGCATTATGTATTGAACTGTGTAACCATTTTTAGTTCGGGAATTGCTCCAGATCTGGGTATGAAGGTACCTGGACAGTCGCGGCTCGCCTGCCTCCTAGCCTGCACTCTAGCCAAGATGCGGGCGGGTTCACTTGACTGTACTCCAGCCTAGATGTAGATGACTTGGGCGGATCCAACAGCCTGCGATTTTGCACATTGTCTGCTAAGATGATCTTGGTTTGAGCTTGGTTTCATACTTCTAACTGCCCGGATATATTGAGAGGTAGAAGGGAGGGAATAAGCCGACGTAGTGCACGGCGCACCACTGCCTTCCCTTCAAGTGTTGAGAAATTGAAAGCAGTCGAACGGGGTTCGACTCCCCGCGTCCGCATAGCATTTGACAGAAGAGCTTTTATTGCGGAGAGCACTGAACAGCCTCAGTATATGGAGCGACACGGAGGGAATCAGCGGACGCGGTTCACGGTGCACCGCTGCCTCAACTTCGTAGGATATATATCGTCTTACACGCAGCTAGACGGCGTTCGATTCCCCGCGTCCGCATTCTTCGAGATTCGCGCCAAATCTTTTTCGCTCAAGGGTTTCCAACCATCAGGATGTATTGAGGTGGGGAAGGTAGAGGATAAGTGGACGTGGTGCATGGTGCACGCCTGCATTCTTTCGAGAGCCCGAGGGAAAGATCTTGCAAGCAGTGGGATGGGGTTCGACTCTCCGCTTCGGCTTCGCCGGTTTCTTCAAAGTCTTTTTTTATTTAATAGCCCCCAATAAGCTACATAAGTGGAGAAATTGAATGGATGAAGGAAGCGGACGTGGTGGAAGGTGCACCGCTGCCTTCTGTGTGCGATGAGTGAGAAGATTTCATTTGAAAGCAGCCAGACGGGGTTCGACTCCCCGCGTCCGCCTTCATCCTCTTCGTTTGAATTTTCTCTTTATTTGCTCGAAGGCTGACAGAAGACTGACTCTATCGAGGGGAGTAATAGACGAAGGAAGCGGACGTGGTGCACGGTGCACCGCTGCCTTCGCTGTGCGCAATCACAATGTGTAAGCAGCCAGACGTGGTTCAGCTTCCCGCGTCCGCATTATTGACATCGACCGTGCAACCATCTTCTATCATGGTAATTGCTCCAGATCTGGGCATGAACATCGGTTTTTTCAACTGTTAGGTGCCTGTGCAGCTGTGGCTCGCCTGCCTACTAGACTGTAAAGCCCCCCGTGACCGTGGGATCTCTGTCTCTCGATCGTGGCCAAATGCGGCTAGTACGCCTGGCCACTTCAAGTTGATGTCAGTTTCTTCCTGGATGGAAAACGACTCGCCAACACACACCCCGACGAACTCGTCACGCGGCACTGGAAGCGAGGACGACACGCGGGCGGCACTGCGCTCGCTGCAGCTCGCGCGAGGACACGGAGCGCGCGCGCGGACGCTGCCGAGGCACGCGCTGAAGCCACCGAGGTGCGCGTACAGCTCGCTGCGCTGCGGGCGAAGTACGAAAAGGCGAAGGGCTCGTGGGCGGTGAATCACAAGGTGCGTTTCCACATCTCTTTCCTTCGTTCCTCCCCGCTACAATCGCAAAGGGACCCACGCAAGGTGCGTGCCCTCTTTTGGGCAGAGAGCGGAGGGACTGATAGCGGGTGGGGGTATAGTGCATCAGGCTCGAGTCGACGTCCCCGCCCGCATCCAGGTCCGCCAGCAGCGCGGCGCCCGTGTCCGCGCTGGTCCGCTCTGTCGACATAAAGTAAGAGCCTGGATCGCCGACCGTATGGGAATCGGTTCCCATCCTGCGCACTCCTGTTCGTCCCAAAGAGCAGAGGATCTCTCTATCCGCGCGCTCATCGAAACGCACCGCAGAGACCAGCCGCTCGTCCTCTTGATCGACGACAGATACGGGCTGTTCCCGTTCGAGCTCGCGAGCCGCGGCGTGTATAGGGCGGTGCTCGGTGCGTACGATTTCTTTTATCGTATATGCATACGGCCGCAGGGTTCTACAACATCGTGAATCTGTGGGGTACGTTGCGTTCTTCGGGTGTGATGCGTTGAGTTGAATGGCTGGCCCGGGTTCAGCGGAGTACGAGCCCGCGGACAGCCACCCCAGCGGGCGCGTCGTGCACTACAAGTGCGCGTTCCAGTTGTGTGAAGATCAGGTTAGATCGTACCACCTTAGGTATTTGAGCATGCTGATATTGTTGCAGGGGGAGCCATGGTGGTCGAAGGAATATCTGGACGGTATGTTCCAATCTTGGTAATTTCCTTGCCTCACGCCGAAGACGCTAGCAGGAGCTATGCCCCGGCCCGAAACCGTCGAGCCACCAGTCCTGGGTGAGATGAAACCATTTTGTGACGATACTTTTACAGAAAACGTCAACTAGCCCTGATTACAACAAGAATAAAGTTGACATTCCGATTAAGTGAATAAGTATTGTCTAATTCCTTGCGCAGCCCACTAAAACCCGATAACCTGTGCTTCCCGTGCGGTACCTGTTCGAAGAAATCCCCTCGCGTCTATCAGCACGCCTGGGCGTGTCTCTATCCCGCTTGTCCTGCGTTTTGGATGGCTTCGGGTCGTTCGCTCCCTGACCAGCTAGCCCACAATCCCGACTTTTTATCTGTCATCGACTTCCAACCGCTTCCGTTCGCATATCGAGACGCTCTTCTTCCAGAGCCTCCGGTGCTCTCTCCGAAGGATGGGATCACCACGACATACAAATATAGCCGTGGTTGGCACTGCCGCAAATGTGGTCTATTGTCATGCAGGTACGGGATTCTGGCCTTTTCTTGAGCACGCACGGCACTCATTGACACAGATCGGCTTGGGACCAATATCAATGCCCTAACTGCAAGGTATTTATTTCCTTTGGAATCATTCTCTTCTCCCACGGCTGATCGTATTCAGGATACCCACGCCATCGTCGGAAACGTCCGACCCGCCAGAAGTCTGATGTCGATCCGCATACCCATATCCGACAAGTTCGTGGACAGCGTCGTTGATCCACGGTCGGGTGCGTGTTTTTTCTGGGTGCATGTAGCCAGCTGACTCCGCCGTTTAGGTATTCAACGAATCCCGACCAGGATTTTCAGCCACGTCGATGGCGCGGGTGCGACCGGCCGGTACCAAACTTTTATACTGCCCGACGGGAAGTCAGTGATTTTTTCTTGGCATCGTATTTTTAAACTCGACGGTTGATATGTAGGCGTCTCCCAGGGGCAAAATAGACCTTATACAAACGAACCGGCTGGCAAACGGCGACGCGGACCGGATATTCGAGGCGTACCAGCGGCAGGCTTCCGACGGAACATTACTCTTCCGTCGATGGCCTCTGAGAAGTGTCCGTATCTCCCTCTTTGTACTCTAGATGAAGCTCATTTCATGTCTCAGCATATACGTTGCTATAAACGCCTTCTCTTTTGTTTTGAATTGGGCGCTAATTGACGTTCTCTCAGTGCGAGGCCCCCTCCTGACAAACTACTTTTCGCAAAACTGTACGTCGACGGTTCGTTTTGCGTGTATCGGTGTTGAAATAACCCACCCACCACAGCTGGAGAAACTTATCACCTATGTTCTTCCCTTGAATGCATTCCAAAGCGGTTTGACTATCGCGCAGTACATTGGTGGCACCGATAACACCGTTCCGTTCGACCGCGCGCTGCCCGCAGTCATTCAGGCCCGCGAGCTGATTGAAAAGCGCATCCTTGAAGCGCTGGGGCTCCCCACAAATTCAACGAAGTCCTCAGGTGATACGCGTGGATGGTGCCTTGGTTAAATCTAACCAGATCTTAGCGCCGCGTACATGGAGCAACAAAAAATGACCGTTAGTTTTCTGACCGTGGATGATTCGCGCGCGCCGCTCAATTTTGTGTAGTTTCACAGCGACAGCGAGCGCGGGTTGGGTCCGGTGGTTGCCGGGTTGTCGATGGGTTCGTCGTTACTTTCTGCGCCCCATGGTCTATTAATGTGTGCTGTGCGTCAGGATCTCCGGCGCTGATGCACTTTCGCTTGCTATCCAAATATGCACCCCGTGACGAACAAAGAGCAAACACTATGACCGTTGTTCTTCGACACGTACGTTTGATTTGAATCTGTGAGATTGACACTCAAGGCGCTTCAGGGTGATGTCTTAGTCATGGAGGGCGCTGGGGTGCAAGATTTCTACGAGTACGCTGATGCATTTCTGAACTTTCTCGGTACTGACTTGAACCACCTTACTCTAGGCACACTGTGGTATGTTGTTTTCTCTCTCGTCCAAGACGTGAAAATCTTAGTTGGAATACAGGTGCCCTGCAACTTCCGCATCGCAGCCATGGCGCAGTGGATTGCGCCACACCACGCTTGAACCGAGGAGCGACAGCCAGAAAAATATTGGAAGGACAGTTCGAATGCGCTCTCAACAATAAGATGTGGGTGCGGCACACCATTGCCTTCTGTCAGAGGAAAGGGATGCAATGCAAGCAGTTGAATGGGGTTCGACTGTCCGCGTCCGCGTCCCCGGGTTTTTCTCAAAGGCTGCCAACAAGCTGGATAAATGGAGAGCTAAAATGGTGGGAGTACGCGGACGATGGTACACTGCTACATTTGATAGTGGGAATTCACTGTGGTTGCAAGCAGTTGAACGGACCAGTTGAACGGGTTCGACTCCCCCCGTCGGCCTGGTGCTTCAGCAACTCTTTTTATTTAAAGAAGGCTTCCAAGTATCGAGGCTCGGAATAGGGAAAAGAAGCGGACGTGGTGCACGGCGCACCGCTGCCTTCCATTATCAGACAACCACGTAAGCAGCCAGACGGGCTTCGACTCCCCGCATCCGCCTGTGATATTTTCTCTTTCGCCTTTTTGTATTCCGAAGTGGATTTCGAAACCTAGATGAAAAGTAAAGCTTGGAATAGATGAATTAAGCGGACGTGATGCACGGCGCACCGCTGCCTTCACTAGATTGCCAAGACTCCAATGTAAGCAGCCATACGGGGTTCGACTCCCCGCGTCCGCATTATGTACCTCAGCTGTGCAACCATTTTTATTTCGGAAATTACTCTAAATCTAGGTATGAATGTCGGGTTTTTCAATCGTAAGCGACCTGTACTCCTGTACAGTCGTGGCTCGCCTGTCGACCAGACTGTACTCTAGCCAAGATGCGGGCCACTTGACTGTACGCTAGTCTAGATGCGGATGGCTTGGGTGGATCCAACAGCCTGCGATTTTGCTGACATTGTCCGCGAAGATCTTGGTTTGACCTTGGTTTCATATTCTTGGGCAAGTAGAGTATGTTCCAATTTCTGAGTATTTGAGGGCTTCAAGCTACCTGAATATACGGAGAGGTAAAACGGTGGGGTGACGGGACGTGGTGCACGGCGCACCACTGCATTCGATAAAACACAGCGGCGGCTTCTACGCAGTTGAAGGGGGTTCGACTCTCCGTGTCCGCACAAAAAAAACGGGATGAACTTTGCTTGCTGAATCGCAATGATTTGCTCATGGAAGGCCCAATGCAACTATGTCGTCGGGGCACCCTTGGTACGCCCATCACCCCATAGCGAACGCGAATCTCCCCGAATCTAGCTACACCTAACCCACAGTCAAAACTACTAGTTCTGGTAGGTGAATACTCACCTACCATCGCACGATGGGCGCGTTGTTTTCGTCAAGACTTAGACAAGCGTGATTCTTCACAATTCGTCGAAGCCCGTGACCGTGGGATCTTTATCTCGTGGCTAGCAAGCGCGTCACTTTCCTTCACTTTCCTCTTGCTTGCCTCTCCGTCTTGCTCTGCGTCGACCTTGCACTTTCCTTCCTCTCTCCGCTTTCCCTTCATCTTACTTTCCGTCCCCCTTCCACCCGCCTACGACTGCAAACGACTGCACGCCGAGCGACACGACCAGATGGAAAGCGAGATCCCCCGCTCACAAACCCCGCAC